CGCACCGGTGAGCTCAGCAACACCAAAAGACCCGGAAGACCACGGAAAACAACTGTGGTGGATGACCGAAGAATTCTTTCCCTGGTGAAGAAAACACCCTTCACAACAGTTGGCCAGATCAAGAACACTCTCCAGGAGGTAGGTGTATGTGTGTCAAAGTCACCAATCAAGAGAAGACTTCCGCAGAGTGAATACAGAGGGTTCACCACAAGATGGAAACCATTGGTGAGCCTCAAAAACAGGAAGGCCAGATTAGAGTTTGCTAAATGACATCTAAAAAAGCCTTCACAGTTCTGGAACAACATCCTATGGACAGATGAGACCGAGATCAACTTGTACCGGAGTGATGGGAAGAGAAGAGTATGGAAAAGGAAAGGAACTGCTCATGATCCTAAGCATACCACCTCATCAGTGAAGCATGGTGGTGGTAGTGTCATGGCGTGGGCATGTATGGCTGCCAATGGAACTGGTTCTCTTGTATTTATTGATGATGTGACTGCTGACAAAAGCAGCAGGATGAATTCTGAAGTGTTTCCAGCAATATTATCTGCTCATATTCAGCCAAATGCTTCACAACTCATTGGACGCCGCTTCACAGTGCAGATGGACAATGACTCAAAGCAGACTGCAAAAGCAACCAAAGAGTTTTTTAAGGGAAAGAAGTGGAATGTTCTGCAATGGCCGAGTCCATCACCTGACCTGAATCCGATTGAGCATGCATTTCACTTGCTGAACACAAAACTGAAGGGAAAAAGCCCCAAGAACAAGCAGGAACTGAAGACAGTTGCAGTAGAGGCCTGGCAGAGCATCACCGGGGATGAAACCCAGCGTCTGGTGATGTCTATGCGTTCCAGACTTCAGGTTGTAATGGACTGCAAAGGATTTGCAACCAAGTATTAAAAAGTGAAAGTTTGATTTATGATTATTATTCTGTCCCATTACTTTTGGTCCCTTAACAAGTGGGAGGCACATATGCAAACTGTTGTAATTCCTACACTGTTCACCTGATTTGGATGTAAATACCCTCAAATTAAAGCTGACAGTCTGCAGTTAAAGCACATCTTGTTCGTTTCATTATAAATCCATTGTGGTGGTGTATAGAGCCAAAAATGGTAGAATTGTGTCGATGTCCCAATATTTATGGACCTGACTGTATATATATATATATATATATATATACACATGATTTTGTGCACTCGTTCCGCCCTATAGTAGTATATCTGCTATAGCATGGTCAGGACAGGTTAATCTTAGGGTAAGTAGATCCCCTGAAGAAGAAAAGTTCCATCAATTTCAGACATTAGCACAAAACTGAACTAACGGAGCGACGTAGGGGAGTTATAGGGAAGGCACCAAGGGGACATGTCCAATGACGGTACATGCCTATAGCCTATGGTGTAGGAGTACTCTGCCTGTGTGCAATACTATATGCTCAAGATAGACAGAGAGTAAAATAAGTATTGAATACTCCACCATTTTTCACAGTAAATATATTTCTAAAAAGGTGCTATTAACCTGAAATTTTCCCCACATGTCGATAACAACTCATGCAATCCATACATACAATGAAACCAAAACAAATAAGTTCAGAAATTAAGTTGTGTGTAATAAAATAGAACGACACAGGGAAAACGTATTGAACATGCCAACTGAAATTTAAAACTCCATACAAAATCCTTTGTATGTAATGACAGCTTCAAGACAACTCTGGTATGGAGAAACTAGTCGCATGCATCATTCAGGTGTGATTTTGGCCCATTCTTCCAAATCTTCAAGGTTCTGAGGGCCTCTTCCATGAACTCCAATTATTAGTTCTTTCCATAGATTTTCTATTTGATTCAAGTCAGGTGATTGGCTAGGCCATTCTAGTACATTTATTTTCTTTGTGAAACCAATTGAGTGTTTCCTTGACTGTGTTAGGGATAATTGTCTTGCTGAAACGTCCACCCTAATTTCATCTTCATCATCCTGGTAGATGGCAGCAGATTTTTATTTAAATGTTGTGTAGCAAACTTTAAATGAGCGGTTGAGTGCATTACTTATTGTTTTATTTGAATCAATTGTACCTCCTAATTCCAGGTCTTTCTGAAGCTCTCCACAAGTGGTCCTTGGCTCTTTGATAATTCTTCAGAAAATTCTTTTCACTCCTCTGACAGAAATCTTGCGAGGAGCACCTTTTTGTGGCTGGTTTATCATGAAATGATGTTCTTTCCACTTTATGATTATGGCCCCAACAGTGCTCACTGGAACATTCAGAAGTTTAGAAATCCTTGCGAAGATCTTGAGAGGGCTCTTTGCTTTTACCCATCATGAGATGTTTTTTTGCGTTACACCTTGGTAATGAGACACATTTTTATGGGCCATCAGTTGAGACTGAACCAGCCGATATTAATTTGCACTGACAAAGGGCAGGATTGCTTTCTAATTACCGATAGATTCCAGCTGGCGTCTTGGCTTTCCATGCCTTTTTTGCACTTCCCATTCTTCATATGTTCAATACTTTTTCCTTGTGTCAGTGCATTTTATTATACATAACTTCATTTCTGAACATGTTTTGGTTTGTTTGTATATATGCATTGCATGGGTTGTTACTGACATGTGATGAAATTTTCCTTTACAAAGAATTTTATTATAGAATAGATAGGAGCAGCGAATCAGTCAAAAACAGATACATTGACCAACAGGAATAAAACATACAAGGTATTAGATGAATATTACAGAACACGTACTGATGGAGAGACACAGAAATAAACAGCATACTTAAGTGCCGAGTACAGAAAAAAAAAAAGGGAGAAAACAATAAGTTGCAAAAATGGGAAACGTTTATAGACCAATGAGAATATAAACTCTAAGGAAAAATTGTCATTATATCAGCATATAGAAAGCAGAGATGATATGAGATGGAACCTCTCTGAATAAAAATGGGCATTCCACACGCAGGGTTCCCGATGGAGTCCAGCATACGGATATAGTATTGCTGGTGCGGCACTCAAAGCATTAATCACAATCAGTACACATAACATGAAAACAGACTAGACAAAAGGAAAGAGAGGAACGAAGAGGAAGGAGACGAAAACGAAAACAAAAAAAAAGGGCTCCAGGGGGATCGCAGCAGAAAAAAAAAAAATAAACTGATATGTGAATTTTATATCAACAAAAGGGACTGGTCGAATCTCGATGGTTGGGCTAGATCAAGCCAGGGACGCCATGTCTGCAGGAATTTTGTGTGGGTGTCTAACAGTATAGCTATCAGTTCTTCATTGACCATTATGAAGTTCATCCGGTTTTTGACAGCCTCGAAGCTGAGGAGGGGTGTCTTCCAAGCCCTTGCGATCGTCAGCTTGGTAGCCATAAACAGGTCTGATGCCAGCTGCCGTTCGGGACGAAGTAGGCCCACTAATGGTTTAAATAAAAGCGCTTCATACGGGTTGTGCTTAATGTCTGTGTGAAACATAGTACGGAGGAGGGCATAAACTCTGATCCACAATCTGCAAACCTTAGGACAAGTCCACCAAATATGGACCATAGTACCTATTTGTTGACAGCCCCGAAAACAAGTCGGGGAATATGTAGGGCTAAAACGAGCCAGACGAGCAAGCGTGTAATACCATCTATAAAGAACCTTATAAGCATTTTCTAGTATGATAACATTCCTAGAGCATTTAGATAACGCTTGGGTCATGGTCCTCCAATCCTGTTGATCCAGAGTGCCCCCGAGTTCCAACTGCCAACACTGATAAGAACGGACCGGAGGAGTTCTAGAAGAAGTAATAGAAGAATAGACCAGAGAAATTAAGCCCGGAGCCTGGGGTCTATGTCTACATTGATTTTCAAAGGGGGACAACCTGTAGGGTCCCGAGTGCGTCTGTATTAATGTATTGATAAAATGGCGTATTTGAAGATAGCCATAATGTTCCCGCAATGGGATATCATGAGAGGAGCACAGAGTTTCAAAGGTGAGTATTCGAGTGGGAGATAGCATCGAATGTACATCATGGAAGCTATGTGCTTGCCACCAAGCAAACTGTCCAGGGTTATCACGACCTGGAGGGAATAATGGGTTATGTAGCAAACGTAGTAACGGTAGGTGGGCAGAGATGAGACCAGCGGAATATTTAATAGAATCCCAAAGATGAAGCGTTAGCGTCAGCGTCGGACTAAGGGATGAAGGTCGATGAGTAGAGGGAAGCCACAGCAAAGAAGAGAGTGGTATCGGGTGGTAATCCATCAAGTCTATAGTAGCCCACAAGGGAAAGTGGTGAGATGCATGCAGATGGGCTAAGGGGGCAATATTGGACACCAGATAGTAAGACTGAAGATTTGGGACAGATAACCCACCTGCGGTCCTACAAGCAAATAAGATTTGTTTACGAATTCTGGGTCGAGAAAGAACCCCAAATGAAAGACAGGAGCTTTCGCTGATGAATACGCAATATATGTGAGGGAACAGGGACAGGTAAAACTCGAAACACATACAATAATTTGGGAAGATAAGTCATACGGATCGCATTGATTCTACCGAACCACGAAAGCGGATAGTGAGACCAGGAGGACAACAGCTCTGTCAGTTCATTAAAGACGGCGGGGAAATTAGCCCGGTAAAGTCCTTCATAAGTTGGGGTGAGCTTGACTCCTAAATACGGCAAGGCCGAGAGCCACTGAAAAGGAAACAAATGTTTCAGAGTAGCCAAAAGTGATGGTGAGAGGGTAATTGACATAGCCTTAGATTTGGCAGGGTTGACATTGAGGCCTGAGAGAGCTGCAAAGGAATCCAAAACCGCAAGTAAATTTGGCAAATTGACCCCCGAGTTCGTGATCGACAAAAATATATCGTTAGCAAACATGTGATGAAATTTTCATGTTAATAGCACCTTTAGAAATATTTTTACTGAGAAAAATGACGTGTTCAATACGTATTTTACCTGCTCTGTATTTTAATGTTGCTACTATAATAATGAAAATTAAAAGATATCAACTTCCAAAAAAATAAGTGAACTTACTTTGTAACCAGACTTTTTCCTGATTTCTTGTAGCCTGTTGTGTGGTGCATACCATCTAACAAACAAATAAAAATGTTACAGCAAACTAATTAGCTGCATTTTCACCAAACATTGACTGAATATTTAACACATACAATAATTGCCAAGTCACATCCAAATATGAGCATTGATTGTACACTACCTACAAAAATGTCGATTACTGACATTGATAACTTCTTGTCTACCAAAATACATTTATAAATGTCGGAGTAGACAACATTTTAAAACAAATTCATGCAGCAGCTGTGAGCTTGGTATCGTTTTGTTCAGCCAGCTATTGTCTTTCATGAAAAAGTGATCCGGGTAGCAGAAGAGCAGCTGCTTTCACTTTTATAGTACTTAGAAGTGCAATCCCCCCTGCACTAGTTCCTGGGCTCTCCTGCTCCTCTGAGACCTCAGCAAATAATATCAAGATAGTACTCAGTCCTAATAATGTCCAGGTTCAGAGTGTCTGAATCCCAGTTAACTGCTAATTAAGTACAATCCTGTGTTTGATTGGCTAGAGTGGAAGGCAGGGGAACCCCCAGTGTCTCCATGAGCACTGCTATATGGTAAATGTCTGCAAGCAATATCCATCTGTAATATCACCCATGCCATGTATGAATGCTAATTCACCCCACACTGCTATATGTAATCTATACTGCTTTTAAAATCCACCTCTAACTGAAGCTGATTCTTAACTATCAATGTTCTTATTGGTCATTCTTACTGCTTCAAAAAATCTTTAACTCTGGTCTATATTACTGTGTTTATTTTGCTCTTTATTGTCTAACCCAAATTTATGAGCTGATCCTAATCTTTACAACTCCGCCCTCCTGCTCTCTTGTTGTCTCTTGTAGTCCTTCTTTGTTGTGTGAGAAGTTTGCCCTGCTAGCCATGTGTCTCTGCTATGCATTCCTAATTGATTAATTGGCAATGCCCCCACCCAACTCAGTATAAATTTAGGCCTTCCTTAGGGGGAGGCACAGCTAGGGGTAGCATTGGCAACTATAACCATGGATAAAGTATTAATCTTGGATTAAGTATTAAGCATTACACTTCGGCTCTGCACTTCAGCAAATGCACAAAGCGAGCAGCAGACAACTTTATATACTAATCAGACTACAGGTGACCTTTTCCCCATCCAGCTCTTTCAGCTCTTATCCAGTCTACTTCATCTCCACTCTAACATGCACTCCCTACTCCTCCTCACAGTTGTATTCTCTCTCTTCAAACTCTCTCTCCTTCACCCCCCTCAGATTATATATAATCATCCTCACTTTTTTCTTCTCCTTAGTACTGTACTCATGAACTCCTGCAAATTCTGAACCCACACACTAATAAAACCTCCAGGACACTGGAACCTGTCCCTCCATACAAGTCATACTCCCATATCATACCACCCTCACCATTCTGCTTCTCCTAACATCTGGATACATTTCCCAAATCCTGGGCCACCATCTTTTTCCTTTGATCAACACACCTGGCACCCCCTATCCTTCAACAGCAGCTGAAATCTACACAATCTAGTTACTATTCCTCTGCTTCCTAGAACCAGCCTTCCCTTTCCTGTGCCCTCTGGAATGCCTGCTCTGTCTGTGACAAACTCACCTCTGTCAATGATCTTTTTATCACAAACTCCTTTAATCTACTTGCAATTACGGAAACCTGACTTCATGAATCTGACATTCCCTCTCCTGCTGCCTTCTCCTTTGGTGGTCTCCTCTGGACTCACTCTCCCAGTCTAGTGGACGAAAAGGAGGTGGAATTGGAATCCTCCTATCCCCTCAAAGCACTTTTCAGGTCCTTCATTCACCTCCCTCTCTGTCCCTCTCCTCATTTGAAGTTCACTGTATTCCTCTTTTGTCTCCAGTTTCTTTAAGAATTGATGTGGTCTATCGGCCTCCTGGACCGGTATGAAGCTTCCTTGATGACTTCTCTGCCTGACTGCCTTACTTTCTCTCTTCTGAAATTCCCACAATCATTCTTGGTGACTTTAACATCCCTGTCAATCTTAACACTCATGCTACCTCTAAACTTCTGAGCCTAACCACTTCTTTTGACCTAAAACAATGGACACATGCTTCTACTCACTAGAATGGTAACTGCCTCGACCTAGTATTATCCTACCTGTGCACTCCTTGCAACCTCACCAACTTTCCTTTTCCTCTCTCCTATCACTCCCTTATTAGCTTCATTCTCTCCTTGGCTTCCTCCTCCTTGTCCTCCAACTACCAAACAGTTACCCATAGAAACCTTTGTTATCTTAACCCTTCTCCTTTTTTTGGCAACAGATTGTCTCTGACAAAATCTCAGCCCTGTCCTGCCCCAACCTAGTGACTTCTGTCAACAAAAGTTCACTATCATCCACCCTGGACACATTGGCCCCCCTCACTACACACAGAATCAGGCCCCAACCACTACAGCTCTGGCAAACAGACAATACCAGATGCCTCAAAAAATGTGGCCGTGCTCTGGAGCGTTTATGGAGTAAGACTAAGACCCAGCAAGACTTTGACGAATATAAACCTGTCCTTCAAAAATACAACTCCTGTCTCTACACTGCCAAACAGACCTATTTTATCACTCTCATTAACACCATCTCACACAATCCCCGTCAACTCTTTTTTACCTTTAACGCTCTACTTCGTCCTTCTTTACCACCACCCACTAACTCACTCACTGCCCAGGAGATCGCTAATCACTTCAAAAATAAGATTGATACAATTGACGAGATCTCCCTCACCCCACACTCCTTGTCCACATGCACAATCTATACTTCCCTTGTTTAACCCAGCTACTATAGAGGAGGTTGGTAAACTGTTTTCTAAAGCCCACCTAAGCACCTGCCTCCTGCACCCTGTTCCCTCGCAACAACAACTACAGTCATCCTCTGACTCTATCCTTCATTCTTTAACTCATATCTTCAATCTCTCCCTTTCTACTGGCATCTTCCCCAACGTTCTAAAACATGCGCTAGTCACCCCCATACTTAAAGCCTCACTGGACCCCACCAATCTTAGCAACCTTAGACCCATCTCCTTACTCCCTTTTGCCTCCAAACACCTTGAACGTCTAGTCTACAACCGGCTGAGCTGCCAGCTTATTGAGAATAACCTTCCCGATCCCTTTCAGTCTGGATTTCGCCCACAACACTCCACAGAAACTTCTCTCCTAAAACTCACAAACAACTTACTAACCGCTAAAACCAATGGTCACTATTCCATGCTCTTGGACCTCTCAGCTGCCTTTGACACAGTTGACCACCCCCTCCTCCTCAAAAAACAATTGACTTGGTCTCCATGACTGTATTCTCTGTTAGTTCGAATCTTACCTATCTCACCGCACCTTCAGTGTCACTTACAATTCTACTTCCTCCTCTCCTACTCTTACTGTTGGGGTCCCCCAAGGTTCTGTCCTTGGACCTCTCCTATTCTCAATCCACACTTCTTCCTTGGGTCAGCTGATAGCTTCCCATGGTTTCCAATACCATTTCTATGCTGATGACACAAATCTATCTCTCTACTCCTCAGCTCACCCCATCAGTTTCATCACGTATCACCGATTTACTAACAGACATATCAAACTGGATGTCACACCACTTCCTAAAAAACTCAATCTATCCAAAACTAAGCTCATAATATTTCCTCCCCCACGCGCCTCTTGCCCTGATTTCTCGATCAATAGCACCACTATCAACCCATCCCTGAATACCAGGGTGCTAGGTGTAACCCTGGCTTCTGAACTATCCTTTCAGGCCCACATCCAATCCCTGTCCAAATCATGCCGCCTGAACCTCCGCAAAACATCTCCAGAATACGCCCCTTTTTAACCAATGATACCACAAAGTTCCTAATTCACTCCCTGGTTATCTCTCAAAAAATCAACAAAACCGCTCTCTTCAAACCTCCCAAGACCTTCTGCTTTCTAGTTCCCGTGTCACCTCCTCCCATGCTCGCCTCCAGGGCTTCTCCCGAGCTTCTCCCATCCTATGGAACTCCCTACCCTAATCTGTCCGGCTGTCTCCTAATCTATCCACTTTTAGATGATACCTGAAAACCTCTCTTTAAAGAAGCCTATTCTGCTTCTACCTAGTAAGCCGCCATTTATTTCCTCCATCAGCTCATCCCCCCACAGCTATTACCTTTTGTATCATTCAACCCTTCCTCCTAGATTGTAAGCTCTAACGAGCAGGGCCCTCTATTTCCTCTTGTACCAAATTGTATTGTAACTGTAATGTCTACCTTAATGTCTACCCTAATTTTGCAAAGCGCTGCGCAAATTGTTGGCGCTATATAAATCCTGTATAATAATAAATAATAATAATGAGACCCTTTCGCCTGCTGGTACCATCACATAGGGGGCTTTTTAGTAATACAGTTAAAAAAATAAAAAGTTTACCAACAAAAAAAGAAAATCTAAATTCTAATAAAATACTCAAATGGTGCACAAAACTAGTATCTCTGTAGTGATCAGAACAAAAATGTGTGTGAAAAGATAAAGCTAACTCATATTAAACCATAATGAAAAATGTGCATCACATAAATAGGAAACACAGTCCCACAACATACAATACCTTTGTCCATAACAAACACGTAAATCTCAAAAGAGAAATATATAAAAGTCCAAATGTGAAATCTTGAAAAAAGATGAAAGTCCAGGTGTAAGAATCACAGAAGTGTGCCAGTTCCCTTACCAAACAGCAATGATCTCCGAATAATAAGAGATCAACAGCACAGAAATCATCCAGATTTGGGGCCACCACTGAGGATACAACTGACTCCACGGCCTCCACAGTCCTTAACTACTTATCCAAAGCCAGCACACCTCAGAGTAATAAAGCGTATGAGAAAGAACAAAAGACCATAGAGTAGTATGCTAAAACCACATGATTTATTAAAAGCAGATACACTAACAAAAGTTACAGAGTAACATATGCAAAACACACCAGGGATCAACAGCAAGTATACAACATCGTATGCCAATGGCCTCGCCCTACATGCATTTTATCTGGAGCAACAAAAGTCTTCAG